GAGTCCATGAATCCATGAATAAATGAATCCATGAGTCCATGAATAAATGAATCCATGAGTCCATGAGTACATGAATCCATCAGTCCATGAGTCCATGAATACATGAGTCCATGAGTCCATGAGTCCATGAGTCCATGAATACATGAGTCCATGAGTCCATGAGTCCATGAGCCCATGAGTCCATGAGTCCATGAGTCCATGAATACATGAATCCATGAGTCCATGAATCCATGAATAAATGAATCCATGAGTCCATGAGTCCATGAATCCATGAATAAATGAATCCATGAGTCCATGAGTCCATGAGTCCATGAGTCCATGAGTCCATGAATACATGAGTCCATGAATCCATGAGTCCATGAGTCCATGAATCCATGAATAAATGAATCCATGAGTCCATAAGCCCATGAATCCATGAGTCCGTGAGTCCATGAATACATGAATCCATAAGCCCATGAATCCATGAGTCCATGAGTACATGAATACATGAATCCATAAGCCCATGAATCCATGAGTCCGTGAGTCCATGAATACATGAATCCATAAGCCCATGAATCCATGAGTCCGTGAGTCCATGAATAAATGAATCCATAAGCCCATGAATCCATGAGCCCATGAGTCCATGAGTCCGTGAGTCCATGAATACATGAGTCCATGAGTCCATGAGTCCATGAATACATGAATCCATGAGCCCATGAGTCCATGAGTCCATGAGTCCATGAGTCCATGAATCCATGAGTCCATGAGTCCATGAATCCATGAATAAATGAATCCATGAGTCCATAAGCCCATGAATCCATGAGTCCGTGAGTCCATGAATACATGAGTCCATGAGTCCATGAGTCCATGAATACATGAATCCATGAGTCCATGAATCCATGAATAAATGAATCCATGAGTCCATGAGTCCATGAATCCATGAATAAATGAATCCATGAGTCCATGAGTCCATGAGTCCATGAGTCCATGAGTCCATGAATACATGAGTCCATGAATCCATGAGTCCATGAGTCCATGAATCCATGAATAAATGAATCCATGAGTCCATAAGCCCATGAATCCATGAGTCCATGAGTCCATGAATACATGAGTCCATGAGTCCATAAGCCCATGAATCCATGAGTCCATGAGTCCATGAGTCCATGAATCCATGAGTCCATGAATACATGAGTCCATGAGTCCATGAATCCATGAATAAATGAATCCATGAGCCCATGAGTCCATGAGTCCATGAATCCATGAATAAATGAATCCATGAGTCCATGAGTCCATGAGTCCATGAATCCATGAATACATGAATCCATGAGCCCATGAGTCCATGAGTCCATGAATCCATGAATAAATGAATCCATGAGTCCATAAGCCCATGAATCCATGAGTCCGTGAGTCCATGAATACATGAGTCCATGAGTCCATGAGTCCATGAATACATGAATCCATGAGCCCATGAGTCCATGAGTCCATGAGTCCATGAATCCATGAATAAATGAATCCATGAGTCCATAAGCCCATGAATCCATGAGTCCGTGAGTCCATGAATACATGAGTCCATGAGTCCATAAGCCCATGAATCCATGAGCCCATGAGTCCATGAATACATGAGTCCATGAGTCCATGAGTCCATAAATCCATGAGTCCATGAATACATGAGTCCATAAGCCCATGAATCCATGAGTCCATGAATAAATGAATCCATGAGTCCATGAGTCCATGAATACATGAGTCCATGAATCCAGGAGTCCATGAGTCCATGAATACATGAGTCCATGAATACATGAGTCCATGAATACATGAGTCCATGAATCCATGAGTCCATGAGTCCATGAATACATGAGTCTATGAGTCCATGAGTCCATGAGTCCATGAATAAATGAATCCATGAGTCCATGAGTCCATGAATCCATGAGTCCATGAATACATGAGTCCATAAGCCCATGAATCCATGAGTCCATGAATAAATGAATCCATGAGTCCATGAGTCCATGAGTCCATGAGTCCATGAATACATGAGTCCATGAGTCCATGAGTCCATGAATACATGAGTCCATGAATCCATGAGTCCATGAGTCCATGAATACATGAATCCATAAGCCCATGAATCCATGAGTCCATGAATAAATGAATCCATGAGTCCATGAATCCATGAGTACATGAATCCATGTGTCCTTTTCTGTTTCCATGTGTCCGCGTCCGTTTCCATGAGTCCATGTGTCTGTGGGTCTCCTCTCCCTTCCCCTTTGTCATTAGAGGTGGCGGCACCGTCATATCGCGTTGGGGTTGTCCAATTTCTTTTTATTATTTTTTATTGTTGTCTTCCTTTTTTTCTTTCCTCTACTGGCCTTCTTCTTCTCTTTTTTCGTCATTATATGTGGATCACTTTGAAATTCTTACAACGTTTTACGTGCATGCGCCGTACTAGCCTCACTCTTTTTTCGTTGTGCCCAAAGACGCCATCATCGCACCGCTCAGTCCGATAGAAGCCGTCGCACCTGCATGACAACCTTTGTTTCCCTCTTCGTCGAAAAGTTTTTTTTTTTTCAGCCCCGCCCCCTTCAAGTGGTGAAGAAAAAAAAAAAAGGGGAAAATGGAAGCCGGAAGGAAAAAAGAAAAAAGAGGAAGGAAAGAAATGCCGGCGGGAAAAAAAAAAAAAAAAGACAAAAAAACCAAACAAACGGGAAGAGTTCAAAAACTTTCACCACATATTTATTCCAAAGCAAAGGGAAAAAAGAAAAAAGGAAAAAAGAAAAAAGGTAAAAAAGGAAAAAAAGGAAAAAAGGAAAAAAATACGCACAAAAGTGTACTTTGTGAGGGGAGTGTTGTGGGTATTCCAATGTAATGTTGGCTTGCTGTGTGGTATGCGGCCCCACTCCTGTCCGCCCCGGATGCTCACTGCAAATGTCATCGCCGCAGCATCATTCCACGGCCCAGAGAAGCATGTACACTGCATTTGAGCTGCACACGCCACCCCACATTCATTGGCACCCTCCTTTCCCTACAAGTAAAACGTGTTGGGAATAAAAATCTCAGGCCTTAAAAAAAAAAAAAAAAAAGGACCTTTTGCTGTTGTTGTTCTTGTCATTTTTATTATTACCTGTTAATGTTTTTTTTCTGAAAAGGTGAAGGAGAAAAGGATTTTGACTCGTTATGTCTTTTTTTGTTTGTTTGCTTTTGTTTTTTGTTGTTATTGTTATTGTTTTTATCATCAATTTTTTTTTTTTTTTCATGTTGTTTCTTGAAAGGTGGAGGAAGAAAAGGATTTTGAATTGTTATGTTTTGTTGTTGATTTTTTTTCTTGCAATGTGTGGAGTGTGGTGCCGAAGCTGCCTTGCTGAGATCACACCCCATGTTGTCACTGTTCCTATGTTGTTATATGAATATATATATATATTATGATGTGTATACAGGGAGAGGGAGAAAGCGATGTAGGCTGCTCCTGGTATGCCCCGTGTCGGTCGGGATGTTGCCTGCCGTCACGATGTGCCGTATGGATTCCAGTGGTAGCAATGACGGTCCTCCTTGTAGATACGCACCGACGAGACTTGCAGGGATGAAATCGACGGAGATGACTCCAGTGAAACGCTCCCCTGCATTTCATATAGGAATGGATCACTTCCTTGAACATCGTCATGTCCGCATTCAGGCAGCAGTACTGCTGCCTCCATTTCGTGGTAGGCCCTCTCCCATGTGGTTCTTG